TTTGCCTGTTTCCCCCAGTAGAACAGCTTGGAAAGCACAGTTGCTTGCTTTTACTGCCAACCTATTCCCAGACGTGCCAGCTATTCCCAAAAGCCATCTTCGATTTCATCCATTCCACCCTCTGGCCAGAAATGGCCTCCACCGCGTGGGGCTCCCTTAGTACCGTTTGTGTCACAGCACGTCTGCTATGTGCCCTTGCTTTCTGCGTCCTGGTTTCCTTCTCCTGCTCCCTTCCCCAGACTGGAGCCCACAGGGTTTGGTATCTTATTCCTTCATTTCTCACCCTCATTTCCTAAATGTAGATTAAATGATGGAAACCTGACTTCTAGCCTCGGCTAATTTACTTCGTGTCTTCAGATCATGATCCCTGTTACTTGAGGGAGCCAGCAAGCACAAAAGCACAGAAGTGGGAACATGCAGGAAACAGCCGGGGTGCCTGTCAGCCAAGAAATGAGAAAGGAAGTAGGGCAGGTGTAAGGGTGAACCGGTTTATGGGATTCTACTTGTGAAAGCGCCAGCCTTGAAGTTAGACAAAGGTTCTGAACCTGATTGGGCAGGCCCCAGGGAGCCCTGAAGGGTCCTGAGAGGGGGCATGGGAGGCAGAGGGAGGTGTATGGTCCAGGACTGCCGGGAACATGTGTTCACTCTGCCTCCCCGCTGAGAACTCCTGTTCCTGGGCAGCTCCCAGGTGGACTGTCTCCAGCCCCTCCTGATTGCCAGATCCTAGAGTCACCACCAAGGCTGTGATATTAATTAATATTTTCCCAGCTGATTTAGGGAGCAGCCTGGTGGGTGGAGGGTCTCAGGCTTCTCTGAGGGAGTTGGGAGTGATAGCTGAGGGTGTCGTGATCACCCTGGCTGTTGGATGCAGATTAGATAGGAGACAGTGACGATAGGGAACGCAGAGGGCAGCTGGAAAACTATTACGGCAGCTGGAAAACTATTACAGCAGCTCATGCAAGAGGAAGTAACAAGTAAAATTCAATTTTATATAATACTATATTTTACATAACCCCATATAGCCCGAATACTAGCATTTCATTATGTAATCGATATAAAAACTATTAATGAAATATTTTTCCATTTCTTTTTTTCTGTTGTCTTCAGAATCTGGCATATACTTTTTACCCTTGCAGCATGTCTCAATTCAGACAGCCCCATTCCAGGAGCTCGAGGGCCATGTGTGGCTGGTGGCTCCCGTGTTGGATAGAGCAGGTCTAGAGAAATGCTACCTTTCATGTAGGCGGTTTTGTCCTGGAAGGCAATAGAGAAAGTGGAGGAAGGAGGCAGGCATGAGCTAATGCTGCTGGTGGCCGAGAACTAAGGACTCACCACTGGGTTTAGCAAAATGTTACCGAGGCCCTTGGAAATAAAACTAGGTGGATGCCCAACTGAGCTGGGTCCCCTCCACTCTCACCAGACTGTGATGTGGCCACTTAGGCTTCACTTTTCCCCACGTCCCTCTTGTTGGGGGAGTCCTCAGCCTGCCTCTCCCCTCTCCCCAAGGTCATTCATGCTGGTCATTTCTTCTTGGGCAGTGAGGCTGCTACTCGCAGAACAGCTGGACAGTGGGGCCTGGGCAGGGCAAGGTGCCTGGTGCCGTCCAAGCATCGTGGCCAGGGAAGCCTTCAGGTACTGGCGGAAGCGGCGGCTGGAGAAGGCATAGAGGACAGGGGTGAAGCAGCAGTGAAGGAAGGCGACACTCTCTGTCACCTGCATGGCATAGTCTAGGTGCTGGCTGACCCTGCAGTCCCCAAAGACTTTCAGGTCCATCAGCGAGTGCAGAAACAAGGTGAGGTTGTACGGGAACCACAGCATGAAGAAGGCCACCACTAGCGCTACGGCGATCCTTAGAGCCCGGCCCTGGCCGGGGGTCCTCAGCCTGAGCAGGACAGAGGCAATGCGGGAGTAGAAGAAGATCATGACCAAGAGTGGGAGGAGAAACCCCAGGAAGTTCTGCTGGAAGCGGAGGATGAGCTTCCAAGTGGTCCCATGCCCCCCGAAATCCGGATAGCAGTTCCACACCCCCGCGGGGTATTCATGCGTCCGCACAAAGACCATGTCAGGGACAGAGACAGCCAGGGCCACTGCCCACACCACGGCAGCGAGGACCCAACGCCTGGCCCGCGTCCTCAGCCTGTGGTGCGGCTGAGCGCGGACAATCTCCAGGTACTTGTCCAGGCTCATGCAGCTGATGAAGAAGATGCTGCTGTAGAGGTTAGTGTTATAGAGGGTGCTCACCAGCTTGCACAGGAAATTCCCGAAGACCCAGTGCCTGACCACGGAGATGCCCCAGAAGGGCAGCGTCACCACAAACAGGAGGTTGGAGACGGCCAGGTTCAGCAGGTAGACCTCAGTCATCCGCCTGCGCGGCATGGACCGCAGCAAGACCACGAGGAGGAGGAGGTTCCCGCCCAGGCCCAGCACAAAGATCAGGCTGTAGAAGGTCGGCAGGAAGACTTGGCTGAAGGACAGCACCTCGTCTTTCCTGCACAGCATGAAGGCCACCTCGTCCAGGTAGTCCTCATAGTCATAGAAGGAGCTGCTGTTCTCAGGGCCGGCGACCTCGATGGTGAGAGGCAGAGGGGACGCACGGGTGGCCATGTTGGGAGGACACGCCCAGTCATGGAGCTCTGAGGACCAGAGAGTAGGGTGAGAGAAATCAGATGAAACCAGGCATTCTCTCTCTCCAACCCCACTTTTGCTACTGCTCTGGGATGTCCCGTCAACTCTTCACATCTACATCAATATCTGCAGTCCAGTAGGAAGTACAGCACCAGTGTGGGGAATCCCAGTCTACCACTGAATACTTACTCGTATGTCAGCTTGGGTAGGTGACTTAGCCTCAGGTGTTCTCGTAGTATTCACCTGCTTCATTAAGGTTTCTCTTCTTTATTTTCTCCCTCGTCATTTATAAAGACTGATAATGTCTTTCTGATTTTTCTTTATTATTTAGTGCCACCAACTCACTTATTTGTTGTGTCTCCATCCTCTTACTCGTGTGTGGCTTATAATTATTCTTCTTTTTGTGGCTTAATGATTTTTTTTTTGTTTAATGAGAGTTTCTCTTCAGTGGGGCTTGTGTTATCTATAAATATCTAGTGGGTCCACTCTGGCTTTGAGCTTTCTTTACTTCTGTCGCCTGAGGAGGGTTTCTTGCTTTTGTTTAAAGTATTTTTAAATAGATATTTAGTTCTATATCAATATTTTTTCATAAATATTTAATATTTTAAAAGTATTTTATCCAGTATTTCTAGGTTCATAGCAGAAAGGTGTGATCCATCATGTTCATAGACCCAGGGGCCTACGAAACCTTTCCACCCCTCAGATGCTCCACCTTTAAAACGATGATAATAGTGCCTCCTTCACGGTGTTCTTGCGAGGATCAAATGTGATGGATGATGGATGTGAAGCACCTCAGCCCTGTGAGGAGTGCCCAGAACATACTCGTAGTAGGCACTCAGTAAATGTTGAATTATTGCTTTGCCCAGAACTGAGTCCATCACCTCCCCGCCAGCCTCTTTTCCTCGCCTGTGTCTATCTAACTAAATGGCACCACCCACTTCTCAGTCACCTAAGACTAAAGTGTGGGTGACATCCCAGATTCCTTCCTCACCCCACTCACCATGACCCTGTGAGTCTACCTCCTACTGCCTTTTGAATATGTCCACTATCTCCAAGTTTCAAGAATATATATACACGATACTCTTAATAAAATTAAGATATTTTTATACATACACACACACACACACACACACACACACACACACACACACACACACACACTTTGAAGGAGTTCAAAGAGATGAAAGGGAAAGCCAGGGAAGGAACAAGCACAGGGTTCAAGATGGTGGCTGCCCGGGCAGGAGAAGGCATGGGATGGGGGCAGGTCACTGCCCATGGTCAAGTTCCCTCTGGGGCAGTGGTTTCCCAAGTTTTAATTGTATTATTAAAAATAATTTTTAAAAGAGAGCCTCTCATGAACCAGTGATAAGAGACTGTCATGAACCAAGGATTATGTTCAATCCTGTTCTATGTTCCAGAAGGAGAAAGACTTCATATGGAATACATTAGATTGCTCACCGATCGGAAAGAGGGTTTGGGAAGGAGAGAGGAAGGAGATAAAAAAGAATATGTAGCCCAAGCAGGCAATAATGCACAGCCACCAGAGTGGGGCCTTGTAGGCTGGCCCCTATGATAACGGGCCACAAATAGAGAAATACAAATCAACTCCACTTTGTCCCTCTGCATTTTATTTTTTATTTGTTGATTCAAGTGCGACTGAATTGTTCTGTATGCTCAATGCCAGTTTGTATTTCTTCTGTGGATGATTTATTGTTTTAATGGGTGGAATTCTCATTTTATAAGAGGTTTTCGTATCATAAGAATTTTAACTTTTTACACAGATGTTGCAAATATTTCCCCCAGCCCTTCCTGACAGAAGTTTTGTCAATGTTTTTCCAAGTGGAATTTTGAAATAGATGTTGACTCAGGCTCTCATCTGACCTTTCTAGTATCCTTGACACTGATCTCACAGCTAATAGGAATAGCCAGTCCTGCTGGGGTGGAAACTCGGGAAGCCCTGGAGTCCTCCTCCTTGAACCTCTGTCCCACCCTTGGGCTCCTGTCACATGGCATCTGGCTAAATATTAGGGAAAGTCACACACACACATACCCTGTCCACACCCCAAGAGTTCAGACTGCACAGCTTTATCTAGGGCCAGGCTCTGCTCCCGACTGGCCTCAGGAACTTGACCCTATGCCTCCTTTCCCTGGTCACTCCACTCCACTCTTGTGCATCTGGGATCTCCTGTCCCTGAGCCCCTCCCTGTCTTTGGCAGAGGTAAGAACACCCCCAACACATGGGCAGGGGTGTGAGTCTGGGAGCTGCTGGGGTTGGGAGGAAAGAAGTGCTCGTCTGGCCCTGGGCCTGGCGAGGGGCTACTAGGAAGGAGCTGCCACTAATTCAATACCAGCAACTCTGGTCTATCAGCATTGAATGTGATCCTGGCCTGGTTTCTCAAAATCCTTGACTTTTGCTTTAACAGACAACCAAGTCTGATGACTGCGCTGATCAAAGCACGACGTCAGGCTCAGCTGGCCCCAGTTGGACCACGCCACCTTCACAACGCTCCCCACCTGCAGCACTCTGTTGCCTTTCCTCTCAGGTCCTCTGGCCTCCTGATCTTTCACTCTGGGAATCTCTTCAGGTCCTCTTGCTCTCCGAGGCTATCAGTCCCTCCCATGACTTTCATCCATAATACCAGCAACGACAACAGCCACCAGCATCCCCACGTGCACCTGACAATTGGCCGGGCACCTTCACAGCCACTGTGGGAGTCCTGTAAGGCAAACCAGCAAGGACCTGCCAGGCCCCTTTGACCCAGGAGGAGAGTAACTTTTTCACAATCACCTGGGAAGTCACTGGCTGAGCTGCATCTGAACCCTGGGTCTTCAGACTCCAGGAACAGTGCCTTGTTCCTGGTCCCATCTCATCCTTGGCCTCTGTTCTGACACATCCAGCAGTTACTGAAAGGGGACACCTGAGCCAGGTGCAATTTGGGCTCAGGAGGTCTTGGCTGCCCAGGGTATTGTCCTCATTGGCTGGTATAGCCTCTGTAGATTCCCATTAGCACCCCCAAGGCTTTACTGAACCTCCTTGCAAAACGCAGCCTCCCTCTGGTCAACAGATAACGGCCTCCCAAAGATATCCACACCCTAATCCCTGAAATATGTCACTTTATATATCAAAGGGATTCCACAGAGGTGATTAAGTTGAGGATCTTGAGGTGGGGAGAATAGCCTGGATTACCCAGGTGGGCCCAATGTCATCACAAGGGTCCTTATAAGGAGGAGGCGGGGTGTCTGAATCAGAGAAGATGTGACAATGGGAACAGAAGCCAGAGTGATGCAATTACAAGTCAATGAATGCAGGCATTCTCTAGAAGCTACAAGAGGCAAGAAATAGATTCTCCCGTGACCCTCCAGAAGGAATGCATCCCTGCTGGCCCATTTCAGAATTCTGACCTCTAGAACACTAAAATCATAAATTTATGTTGTTATCAGCCACTGAATTTGTCGTCTTTGATACAGGGTCAATAGGTAATATACTTCCTGTGGCCCTGGGTACCCTCGGAATCTCAGGCTGAGGGAGTGGGAGTGTATCGTGTCACCTCCTTGAACTTATAGATGGGGAGACCGAGGCTCAAAGAAGTGGAAAACTTGTGCAACACATACAGTGAGTAGTCAGTGGTTGTACTGAACCATGAGCCTCATTTTCTTGGCTGCCCTTCAGGTCTGTTACCCTACCCCTAACTGTCCCTCCAGCTTGTTCTGTTTGTCCTTATGTCTGATTGCCTTATTCCCTTATTGTCAGTCACATTCTAGTATGAATCAGCAGTTAGTAGGAAAATCCCAGACAAAGCTCTTTAGTGGAACTTTTGGGGAATCCTGAGAGCTATATAGAGGCTAGAGAGGGGGGCTTTAAAAAGGAGGGGTATCAAGGGCAAGGTCCACTGAGCTTCCGCTACAATGAAGCCAAGGGCACAGAGGCAAACCATAGCTTATCCCTAGGGCAACTACATCATCCTGGTGGTGACTTCCTGAGGCTGCTTACCTAGGCTGGCTCCAGCTTTGACTTAGCAAAAATCTCTGGCTGAAGAGTAATGTCTCCTCCTGAGGACCCAGGGCTCACCTCCCAAGTCCTCTCAGAGGTGTCTCAGTTGAGGCAATGAGAGAGAGGATATTGCTACGGCCATCTAGACAGGAAGGCAGCGCCATGTTAGTTGAGTTCCTTCTAGGAGCTGAACACTCACGTGCAATTTTCTCATTTAATCCTCACCATATTCTGGGAAGCAGTACTATTATGATCCCCAGTTTCCAGATGAAGAAACTGAGGCTTGGAGGGGTGAAGCCCAATTGTCCACGGCTTCACATTATCAAATGACAGACCCAGGGTTGGATGGTTCTAACAACACAATGTAGAACTGGTGACCCTTTCCCCAGCACCCCTTTTCAATACGGACCATACTTGAGTGTGAAGGCTGAGCCTCCGAGAGTGGGACATCTGGCTTCAGCAACAAGGGGCAGAGAAGATCACAGTCAGTCATGAGCTGGAGCCAGCTTCTACAAGCTTCTGAGAGCCAGTTGTGCAATGTCCGGGAGGCACTCAGCAAACACTCAAGGGACTTAACCAGTTCAGGCATGTTTAGTTGGTAGCTTGAAATTAGTCATGGTAGGAATGTTTACACCATAGAAAATGCTACAAATTGGAGCCTCCCCTCCCTGTCTTCTGGGTGTGCCCCCCATCCCCCGACCACTGACAGCTGGTTGTTAAACTTTTATCTGTACAACCCTGATCAGGGCCCCATGGAGCTTGACCAAACCCTGGCTGTCTCGCTGTCTCCCTGTCTATGTCTCCCACCACCTGCCCTCTTCCACCTTCCACATCAATACCACAGCTGCCCTCCTCCCCAGCCAAGAGCCCCCGAGGACAGGGCCACGTGTGGGTCCCCTGTCAGGTGTCATGGCACTCCCATCCTGGGTGTGCTGCCAGCAGCATAGCTGAGACCAGTGAACAAATAAACAAGATCAACTGTGACTCCAAGAGGCCACACGAGCTTTCAAAATATAAAACCAAGAATAACATTTGAGGTCACTCCTAGGGGACAATCATCGCTGGCTTCCTTACAATTTAACAATCATATTCCATAAAATGTAACCTACACCCTCCCCTCCCAGAAGCCTGCCCAGGACGCTAGCCTGGTGCGACCCTGCCCAGCCCCGCACACACTCACAGCAGGTCACTCTTTGGCTTCAGGGCTCACCTCCTGGAAGCAGAGTCCACCTCTGGGGAATCCACTTGCCTCCTGTGCGACACTGGCCTTTTCCCAGAGGGTGATACGGTGCTAAGGTCTGGCTGCCTGGGGCTTGAAAAAGTTAAAAATTGAGAGACATGGTTGGTGGGAAGAAAAGCAGGTTTATTCCGAATGCCGGCATTCTGGGACAATGGTGAACTCCTGTCCAAAGGCCACCTGCCCAGTTCCTACAATGGGCAGAAGGTTTTCAAGTCTGAGGGCTGACATCACTTCCTGGGGTTTGGCCTGTTTTAAGATAATGTTATATCCTGACTTGGCCATTGTGGACTGGGGCTTTCTGTGTCACCAGTAAATTCCAGTGTCCAGATGCCTGACGGTTAAATAGCCCTTTTCAGATTAGGATTCTGTTGATTAAATGGATTACTGAGGTATGTGTAGCCTTAGAAAAGGGAACAAAACAGAGTTCTTGAGTCAACCAGTGAGGGGAGAAAACAGCTGAGTATCAGGGTGGACCAAACTGACAAGTGGCTAGATAACGAGCTATGTGGTGAGTCTAACTGCAAACTGGCTAAGTCTAATTATGCATTATCGATGTGCCAAATTTCACCCTTACATTTTCCCCTGTCATGTGTTCATTTTATTTCCATAAAATCAGTAAGGTTATGGGGGGCTCGAGGAGCGGTGGCGAAGGGTTAAAAAATCACAAGAGGTGAGGTTAGAGAGGAAACAAAACAACTACATTATTCAAGACAGTTCTGAAATTCAGGGATAGGGGCAGCGACCCCTCTTGCTACTTCCTGCTGAGAAATGGGCGCGGTCCCGCCTGTGGGCACCAGAGTTTGCTATTCTGTGATCGTGGGGAGGGGCAATGGAGGAACTGCAGGAGAAAAAGCCAGGCCGCTTGGTGAAGCAGCTGCTGGGTGCCCATCTGTAGATGAAAACTGCTATGTTCCGGATGATACAAGCTTGTCCATTTGAAGAGGAGCGTAAGGTCTTCAACTGGCTCATAGGAACAGGGGCGACAGGCTTCCTTTCTGGGGAGTCCTGCATAGACTTAAATGAAACAGGTTTGATTTGAGGGAAGTGGACTCGGCCACTGACTCTCTGACCCCCAACAATAGTTGGGGTGCTCGGAAAAACCGTGAAGAGTCCCTCGCATTTAGGAGCTAACTGATCTGTCAGAGACCCCTCCCCTTCTAGGCTTCTAATAGAACTTGGTCCCCTGGTTTTCCGGGGCTATAGTGTGTAGAGGGGTGGGCCTGGGGGAGGTGCCAGTCCCCAATATTTCCTAAGTGCCTGCTGAGCCTCTCCCAAGCTAACAACATAGGAAATAACAGAATTGAGGTCAGAATCCAAAGCAATGGGTGCAGTCAGAGCCAGGGCTTAGAGGTCTCCTGACAAAACTTTTCCAGAGTCCTTTTTAAGCCAAATTTGCTCATTTTACATTTCCTCTAAGGTACAGGCCAATGGTAAGGAACAGGCTTGAGTATGAGCCCAAATTTAGGGGCTTTATTTACACAACTGAGGGGGTTTCCGAGGAAACAGGTCCAGAACAAGCAGCCAAGACAGAATAAATGGCTCCCATGTCAATCAGGAAATTAACAGGCCACATCATGGGTCACCTGCAGTTCCTCCCCTGTGATGAGAATAGCCTCTTTTCTTCTTGGGAGCCACTGGGCAGTTGATCACAGCCTTTGTGGGGAAGGAGTTGGTCCCTGCTCCCTTCAGAGCAGGGGACAATCCCTCCTCCAGTGCCCTTGTAGTTTGCACAGGAGGCTCCCCTGACTGCTGTGGGAGGGATTGGGGTGGAGAGGGAGTCCCAGGGCCTGGGCTCCGCTCTGGCTCAGCTTGGGATGGGTCCCCCTCTGCATATAATTCTGGCATCCCAGCCTAGTTGCGGCTGGAAATGTTGAGGCAAAAGTTTCAAGTGACTCACACTCCGAACACAGTCCCCGGCTGTAGAAAGCGCTCTGGTGTTAGGGCAGAAAACCTGCCTTTGGGGGAGCTGGTAATAGTGTTGGGACCTCTACTTTCCTCCTCCTGAGTTTGAGAAAACACCAGATATTAAACTCTACTGTGTCTATAACAATAAAAAACACCACCGCCACCACGACAACAATAATAATACCCACCACTTACAAAGCACTTACTAGGGGTCTGGCTCTGGTCTCAGAACTTTGCATGTATCAATTCATTGCATCCTTGCAATAACACTCCAAGGCAGGTACTATTATTATCTCTATTTTACATATGAGGAAACTGAGTCACAGAGAGGCTAAGGAACTTGCCCAAAGCCACACAGTTAGTAAGTAGCACAAGCTGGGATTTGAAGCCAGGCCCAGGGTCTGGGCTAGCTCATTAAAACACAGGGGTGAAGGGTGGGGACGACAGATGGGAAAGTGACAGGAGACGGGCTGCCATCGCCCAGGGTGCCCGAGGGGAAGGCTGGCTGGGAGGCTGATGGTATGTGAATGGAACACAGGAAAAGGAACTGACAGCCACACGAGAAAGACACGAGGAAAGAAGTCCAGTGCCACGGGAATGGCACGCAGGGAGACAGCGCAAGAATGACCGACTTGGGGCAGAGTCCCATCTCCGCTTCATGGCTCAGTTTGTGACGACCTTGGGCTTAAACCTTCAGGCCCTGCCAGCCCCAAGACAAAGTCAGGGCTTCCATCCTGGAGCCCTCGACTTCCACGAGCCTGTTTTCTCATCCATAAAATAAACAGCACTTATAGTGAAGGTTTTGTGAGGATTAAATCTGGTGCAATCATTACAACAGCTAACGCCATGGAGCCCCAACGGTGTGCTGGACTGGACGCTGGAGCGGAGGGCTTTACGTATATCAACCTATTTACCTTGCACACGTTAAATACTAGTATTAGCCCTGTTTTATAGCTAAGGCCACTGAGGCACAGAGAGGTTAGGGAACTAGCCCAATGTCACACAGCAAGTGAGGAATAGAGCCAGAAACTGAAAGCCAGAGTCTGTGCTCTTAAACACTAAGTTATATCGCCTCTCAGAGAAAATAACAAGCCAGTCGTGCTCCCCGCTCTGCCAAGCTTGGTATGTATTAATGTCCTTACTGCTCACAATGACCTTATGAGACAAGCACTACTGTTAATCCCATTTTACAAATGAAGAACTGAGGCTCAGAGAGGGGCAGTGACGTGCCCAAGGACACACAGCCAATGGACTGCAGGGTTGGAAGTCCAGTCCCTGAGTTCAGCTCCAGAGCCTGAGTCCTGAACCACACCCTGGGAGCTGAGCCCCTCCCTCAGACTCACAGGACTGGACAGCTGCCCTCTGCGTGGTGCACCATGGGAAGCATCTCATTTGGACTCATTGTGATGCATAAAACCCAATGGAAACAACAGTAACCAGTCCTGACATTTATAGGAGGCTCCTCCTCCATAATTCCTGAGGCTCTTTTATGTCCCAGTCCTTGAAAGTTCCCCTGGCTTCCTTTTGAAGAGGCAGCAGATGTCACCTCCTTAGTTTCACAGGAAGCCCAGAGCGGCACGACAAGCCAGGCAGCGCTGACCCCAGAGCCCTGAGCACTGAGTCCCAGGCCACTGCACACAACACTCTCTCTTTCTCTACTTTTTAACATGTATTTTTCCTGATTACAGTACTAACATATGCCCAGTGAAAAATGTGCAAATACAAGAAAAAACAATAGAAAAGAGACTTAAAAAAATGTCCCATACTCCTACCTCTGGCCCTAAATAACCCTTAGAAACGTCTTGGTGCATTTTGTCCATTTTCATGCCCGGGGCCCCGT